TGTCACCACAAGCTCCTCACAACGTATTTCGTCTCTCCACATCCTAACGCAGTTCCCAGTCCCAATCCCTGGGCACTGGCTGCAGCCGACCTCCAGGACACTGCCTTTTTCCACCCAAAAGGCTGTATTTACATGCAAATTGCTCTTTAAGCCTCTTATATTATTCATGCACATTTATTTATACCTACATTTTCAGAATTAAATAAACCTCAGGAATAGGAATGGATAGGACCAGAAGTAATTACACCAGAAACCAACACCAGGCTGGTGCGGGTCGTGCCCTAAAATGCCCAGGAGAGGCTGGAGGTGACAAATGCTGGCTCCAGCAGCTAAAATGGAGCCTGGCAGAAACCTAAACACACCAGTGACCCCCAACATGGGGGTCCCACTGGGCTGGTTTGGAGAAGCTACCGTGGCCCCACTTCCCAGTCCTGGAGCATGGCCACCCCTTACCATTTTCGGGGACAGGCACCTGGGTCACGCGGATGCTCAGGGTGCTGCGGTGGGTGCAGGACCTGGGCTTTGCGGGGCGAACCCCATCAGCCCTGGGGGGGCCACAGCCGAGCACGGCAGAGGGGGAGCAGGGTACGTGCCCTGCACTGGCTGGAAAGTCACCTCCCAGCTCACCTGGTTGGCTTTTTCGAGGTTTGTCATGATCATGGCTACTTCGTCTGCCCTGTGACAAGAAAGCAGGAGGCGTCAGGCAGCACGGAGGCTCGGACACAGCCCTCCGTGGCTGGTGAGGGCTCCTGCCCGCACTGCGGCCGAGGCAGGGACCCCCTGCAACTCGGGATGCTGCTGGGGTCGCTTAAAGTATCTCAGCTCCTCCAGACATTCAGCAGCACCACGGGCACGTCCCGGCGCTGCTGCAATGCCACAGGCGGCTCAGCTCAGCCTTGGGCACGCCAACAGCCTCCGCACACAACCGAGCACCACCAACAACTTACTTGGACGCAGCTTCCTCGTCGTATTTACACCGCAGCTCCAGCAGCTCCGTCTGGGTGGCCTTCAGTGCTGGGAAGAGGAAGATGAAGGTGAGCCGTGGGGTAGGGGGCTTGACGCCCTGTGGCTGGTGGCCCCTGCCCCAGCCCCCCTACCTGCGTGGAGCACTTTGATCTTCTCCTCTGCCTCCCCGAGCCGAGCGGCCAAAGTGACCTGTGCTTCCTGCAGCCCCCTGCGAGAGACGGGCATCAGCGACGGGCCGGTGGCACCGCGGCCATGCCGACCGCAGAGCCCCCCGAGACACCCTTGCTGCGTCCCCTCCTCTACCCCATCGCTCGGTGACACCAGGGAAAGACCCACTGGTGGATGCCAAGACGTGTTCAAGCCGTGTTATCCCGTGATGCTAAGGGGTTTATAGCCCTGGGAGTAAAAAAACTGACTTTGGGCTGAAAACAGCCCTGATCCCTGTGGCTGCAGCCCCTCTGATGGGGGGAATGGCAGCCCACCCCCACCTGTAATTAATTGGAGGAGGGGGGAAGCAATCAGGGAAAAGTTATTCTGCATTATTTATAGCCTGCACTTGCCAGGAACTTACTCGCAGAGATCTGCAATTTAGGGTTTAAAGATTCCTCATTTGTTTCCCGGTGCAGCGTGTTAAGGAATAACAATGAAGGCACTGAGAAAGCTGGGAGCCTCCAAATTAAAAGGCCATTTAATGAGGTTCATCCACCGACCTGCATTTAACCCACTGGCCCGAGCGAAGCCACGTGCCAGGGAGATGTGCGAGGGGCCGGCAGGAGAGACCTGCCCCGGCTCTGCCTGCGCCCGCCACTGCCCAAAAACCACCTGGGATCGGGGATGGACAGACGGGATGGACGGACAGACGGATGCTCAAAGCACCTGAGACTTTGTACCAGGCTTCTGGACAGGGTGCGTCCGCTCTCCACCCGGGCAGCAAGGGAGGTGAAAAGGGAAGGAGGAGAGGGAAGGACGAACAGACACCCCCATGCGGGAGTAGGGACAGAGCGACACGTTCCTGCACCACCCCGGAGTGACCCCGTCCCCGGTACTCACGTACTTTTGCTTTTCTGCCTCATTTCTCTGCAGCAAGGTTTCTGGGCACAGTGCTTTGCTGTCGATGCCGGAGAGCGGGGGCTCGGCCGCTGCCACAAGCCCGGCTGCCGGGGATGTCCCCTCTCTGCGCTCTGTGGGGGGACACATTTCACACAGCTGTGTAGGGGACAGCAGCGGTGGCTGCCCGGGACCACGGGCCAGGGGACAAGTCCTGGCCTTGAGACACCCCCTGCATCCCAGGGATGCTCGGATGCACGTCGGGGGACCCATCCAGGGACCACCACTGTCACCCTTGTCTGATGGGGTGGCCAACACTAGGGCTCTCTGCGCTCTGTGGGGGGACACATTTCACACAGCTGTGTAGGGGACAGCAGCGGTGGCTGCCAGGGACCACGGGCCAGGGGACAAGTCCTGGCCTTGAGACACCCCCTGCATCCCAGGGATGCTCGGATGCACGTCGGGGGACCCATCCAGGGACCACCACTGTCACCCTTGTCTGATGGGGTGGCCAACACTAGGGGGTACCTTTGGTGCCGACGAGCTCCGCGTGCTTCTTCCAGGGGCAGCTGAGG